ACAATTGAGTTTTCACTCAGAGAGAATAATACTGGGTCTTTTCCTCGTGGCTTGTCTCTGATGCTGCGCTCCATTGTAAGCTTTTCCTTCCCTAAATTTAAAATTTCCAATATGGCCCATCCCACTCTCTTTTTCTTTATTTGTAAGTTTATGTTTTTGTTTGCTTATACTTTTCAGGGCAAGTGGATATATGATATGGATCCTTTCGAGCCATTGAAATATGAGAAACCTTTAGCAGACCTGAAAGCCAGAATTGCTAAGGACGGCTCCAAGGCTGTTTTTTCTCCTTTAATAGAGAAGTTTATTTTAAACAATCCCCATTGTGTTACCATCGAGATGCAGGTAACTTTCATTCCTAGGTATTTTAGTTCTCTATTGTAATTAAATTACATGACAATCAACATTTTTTCTGTCAGCCTGATCCAGAGAAAGCTTCTCGTGATGAAGCAGCTGAGAAAGAAAATTTGGAGAAAGTTAAAGCCAGTATGACAGAGGAAGATCTAGCCGAGTTGGCACGTGCTACACAAGGGCTGAAACTTAAACAAGAAACTCCTGACCCTCCCGAAGCCTTAAGATGTGTTCCAAGCCTCGCCTTACATGATATTCCCAAGGAACCGATACGTATCCCGACAGAGGTTAGCAAGTGTCCTAGTCTACTTCTAAATGCTTTCAGCTTTATTTGTGCTAAGTTTCCATACATCTTACTGTAGGTTGGGGATATCAATGGTGTGAAGGTTTTGCAGCATGATCTTTTCACAAATGATGTCCTTTACACTGAACTTGTTTTTGATATGAGTTCGCTGAAACAAGAACTTCTTCCTCTTGTACCACCTTTTTGGTGAGTTGGATCTTGCCTTGAAGGCTAGCTGTCTTTACTCTTGTTAGGGGTGAGATCTGTCTGGTTCAATCGGATTTATTAGATTTTTTGAACAGTTCATTTTAATCCGGTTCAGTTCTCTGTTTTTCCATGTTAACTTTTTTTTGCCTTTTCTGACTTTATTTTGATAAAATGGACTTGTTTTAATTTTTTTACATTTAGTTAATATTTTTTCAGTCTACCTAAATTTCTAAAAAAGTACATTTTCAAATAAATAAAAACAATTAATAATTCTTACATAATATTTGTACTTTATTTTTCATTATTTGAAAAATAGAACACTTATTTTTCCATTATAAAAATAAAAAATAATTTTTAAATCAAATAAAAAATTGAATTCGGGTTGAGTCGGGTAACCATTGTTTTTAAACTAGTATTCCATTAACCATCCAAATACTTCAGTTCAGTCAATTTTTTTGCTTAGCCCTAGCTCTCGTTACATGTGTTATCTCTTTGTTTCTGCTTCAGATACAATAAGTTATTTATGACATGAACTCAAGGCAAGAAAGGTCAAGTTTTTCTATGCATAAAGAGTGCTGATGTTTTTCTTTAGCATCTTACACAAGATGCTGAAGCTGTGATCAATGTGCATATGCTTTTAGATGTTAGCGTCCTACTTCATTTTCCCTTTCTGCAACTCACCCTACTTCTCATTCTATTTGCTTGGTAACCTATGTCACCTTACAAAGAACCAAATTCCAAGCATTCTGCTCAGGTTGGTGGAATTTATTGACACCTTCATTTCAATAACCAAAAACATCTTTACAAACTTTTCATTGGAAAATAGCATTTTTTTTCTATCTGTAACATGCTATTCAGCAGCCATTTGCTCTATATGTCTATCATTTAATAAATGAGGGAAGCAGAATGGTCTTATCCAAAATCATATATTCGAACATAATACATGTAAATTGTGAGGTAAACATGTTATGGCAACTGTTTTTGTTTTATTGGTTTAAAAGAGCTATTTACTGCGTATGACACTTCTGCTCCATGCATACTTTTTGGCAGTCAATCATTACTGGAGATGGGTACAAAAGACTTGACCTTTGTGCAACTCAATCAGTTGATTGGAAGGAAAACCGGTGGAATATCAATTTATCCATTTACATCATCTATACGAGGCAAGGAAGATCCCTCCAGCCATATAATTGTTCGAGGCAAATCTATGGCTGGCCGTTCCGATGACCTATTTAATCTGGTATATATATGTGTTTATCTGATTTTATGAATAGATATCTTATATTACCTACAGATTTTCTGTTTACATCCCAGTAACATTACAATAAGTTGTAGATTAGGGTGTTCTGCTTATAATTTTTTTCTCTGAGAATCTTTTCTTTCAATTGATCTAAAGGTTTTTTTCATGTCATTCAACTGTAGGTTAATTGTGTTCTTCAAGAAGTACAGTTTACGGACCAACAACGGTTCAAGCAGTTTGTGTCCCAAAGCAAAGCAAGAATGGAGGTATATATTTTGAATTTTTAAGGGTTATCTGGGAGATACAAGAACTGAAGCCATAATTTAATCCAATGGATTGTGCTCATTCCAGAATCGACTGAGAGGCGGTGGTCATGGAATTGCAGCAGCTAGGATGAATGCAAAGTTAAATGTTGCCGGGTGGATTTCTGAGCAAATGGGTGGAGTTAGGTAGACTTCATGGATTCCATTATGTTTTTTCTTCCTCGGGCAAATCCTGCATTTTAGCTTGCCATGCAATTCCGTATCAGTGAACTGCAGTTATTTAGGATTTTTTTTTCCAGTGATAACTTTAAAATAAACACAAACTTGCAGTTATTTACTTAAATATTAGGCTCTTTCTGATATCATGTTAAGAATGGCTTAAGCTCCAAAAGATATTGTAATGGGTGAGATTTTGAAATTTGATTATACTCATTCTGTTTTTTCAGTTACCTGGAATTTCTTCAAGCTTTGGAAGAGAGAGTCGATAATGACTGGGCAGGAATTTCATCATCTCTTGAGGAGATCCGTAAATCTTTACTTTCCAGGGAAGGTTGCTTGGTAAATATGACTGCCGATGGCAAAAATCTCTCTGATACAGAGAAGTTCGTTAGCAAATTCCTTGATTTGCTACCTAGCAAACCTCTTGCTGAAAGATCTAGCTGGAGTGCTCGACTTCCTTCAAACAATGAAGCAATTGTAATACCGACCCAGGTGGATAAATTGTCTTTTCGTAGTCATTTGCTTTTGCTCATTTATATGACTAATGAATTAACAAGCTTTCACCTGCTACAGGTAAATTATGTCGGGAAAGCAGCTAACTTATATGACAAGGGTTACCAGCTTAGTGGGAGTGCTTATGTGATTTCAAGCCACATTAGTAACACATGGTTGTGGGAACGTGTTCGTGTTAGTGGTGGAGCATATGGCGGTTTCTGTAACTTTGATACTCTTTCAGGTACGCTCAAGGTGCTGTATTTGACCGGCAAAACACTTTCATCCCCCAATTCACTCACCTTAAGATTTTCTCATATAGGTGTATTCACCTTCTTATCCTATCGAGACCCTAACTTACTAAAAACACTCGATATATATGATGGAACTGGTGATTTTCTCCGTAAATTAGAAGTGGATGACGATACTCTTACCAAAACAATTATTGGGACCATTAGTGATGTTGATGCCTACCAGCTGCCAGATGCTAAAGGCTATAGTAGGTATGGAATCAGTTGTTTTCTCTTCATTTCCTTTTTGTTTTACTTGGTCGAGAACACTATTGTCTCTGCTGCTGGTTTTTCTATCCATCGAGCATCATTACACCTCATATTGACTTAACTATGTTCTGCTAGTTTGCTACGATATTTATTGGGGGTTACGGAGGAAGAAAGGCAAAGGAGACGTGAAGAGATATTATCAACAAGGTAGAAATGATGATTTCGTTTGTACTTCCTGCTTTTAAAAAGTATGATAATAACTGCTAGTCCAACACACCAAAAAGTTGCATTTGATATGGTTTCGAAGCTTATATGCTGAATTTTACTCATATGCTGAATTCCACTTTTTCTTTCAAGGATTAAAGTGAACTGTATTATCATTCATCTCTAAATATTCTGCTTGTAAAGCTCAGTTAACCTTTCAGATCATGGTTTAGGGTTTTGATTTTTAAACTATTTTTTCACCTATGCTTTTGTTGCATTTTGCTCCCCCCTCCCCCAACAGTTTAAAGGATTTCAAGGAATTCGCCGACGCCATTGATGCTGTTAAAGATAACGGAGTCGCTGTTGCTGTGGCATCACCCGACGACGTTGAATCCGCTAACAAGGAGCGCTCAAACATTTTCCAAGTGAAGAGAGCCCTCTAAAGAAGACACAGTAAGAATTGCTTCGATCCTAAGTTAACCCCAATACCATTTCTCAAATAAGCAATTCTCAAGAGAAAAAAAACATCATTTTGATTTTTGTTATACCGTGAATTAGATAGAAAGGAAGTCCTCGCGGCATGAACTCTTTACGTTACTATGGTTTATGACGACTTTGCCACTCTTTACATTACTATGGTTTATTATGACTTTGCTATTTCATGAAAGTTAAAAAAAGGTTTAATTATGCCCTTAGTCACGGTGCTCTTTAGATTCTTGAGACTTAGTCCCTTTGCTCTTCTTTCTAGGAATTTAATCTCAAATAAAGTTCAAATGATAACCTTGTTGATGGTTTTTCGATAAATTTGAATATGTGGTATTTTAAAATCCAAGGAGTACATGGACTGGGGACAGAATTAAACCTATTAAATATCTATTATTATAATATCAAATTATGCCTTGCAAAAGGGAAGAAATGTCGCATAAAAGTAATCATAGTTCGTTGGAATTTAACAAAAGATCCCCAGATATTAAAATTGCAAAAAAAAAAAAAAGTCTTGGTCAGCTTTAAATATTGTCCATGGTGTTCCTACCTAACAACTTCTATCCAATGCAGACAAAATGCATACTCAACAGCTTAAGTCATTAACTTAATTTCATAATTTCTTTTAAAGAGAACGAAGGAGACACTTGCCAACAGCTTCCTAGTTAGTTTTCAGCTTTTGAAAATGAATGTTGAATATATATATATATATATATATATATATATGCACACGCAACAAGTTATGGGGTAAGTAGGGAAGGATGCAGGTAGATAGATTAGGAGGTAAATAATAATAATAATAATAATAATAATAAAATGTGTTAAGGTCTAATTGTTAAATTAAAATTTTAAAAAATCTGAAGTCAGGGTTGAATTTGTTTAAATTTAAAAATGATAGGGATTTAAGAAATATTTAAATTAAACCTAACAGGGACCTAAGAAATCATTAATACTGAAATTTTTATGAGGGTCAAAGTTTAATTTATTTAGTTTTAAAACTAATAGGGACCTAAGAAATCATTAAACCTGAAATTTTTGGAGGGGGCGTGGCGTCTCCCACAATAAGCTTAGCTTTGTAATTGGGGCAAGGATAAAACAATTTTTTATACAGGGATAAAATCATAGGTTTTGGTTTAAATTGATTTATTTTAATTTTTTTTGAGAGAGCCAAAGATATAAATTGGAAAAAATGATTGAATTGGTTATTAATATTTATGAGGGGTTGATTTGCAAATTTTCCATTTAACCGCAGTATGCCCCGAATATGTGGGTGAGAAGTTTTCCTCCTTCCTCAAATACTCGTAGAATTTCTAACACTTGTTTAGTTTGCAAGTTTAGAAAATCATATTAAAAATTTAGAGAATATAAAATTATAAAATTTTAATAGTACATAATTAAATTATTAATAGAAAATATAAAAGAAACAACTAGATTATATATAATTTACAATATTTTAGAATTACCATCGATTCAAAACTCCTCTCGATCCGGTCTTATATGTATAAAGATTTTTCAAGTCACATTTTTTAGAGTAAAAAATAATAAAGGATACATTTGTTTTGTTATGGTAGTTTAAAAAATTAAACAAATAAGGAAATTTTCAATGATTTAGTTGACAAGTTGAGAGCATCATCTTCATTGAGTATTTAAATTCAACCTTTGAAGATTCCACCTAATTTCCACATTTTATATATATATTACTACATATATTGGTATAAGGACTTGCATCTTACACAAAAGGGGCGCTAGCCATCCCACCAAAACATGTATCCTGCTGTTGAGACCATGCCGGAAATCTTCCGGTTCCGACAGCCCCTGGACATCCCGGTCCAATCCCAGCTTCGGGAATTCCCAACATTCAACCTCATCATATTCTTCATCATCAGCATCGGTATCTCTCTCGAATTCCCTCCACTCCTATACAAGGACAGTGGACTTCCGGTCTTTGCCATTGTTTCGACGACCCTATAAACTGTAAGTCAGTCATATTTTAAAGTATTCATATATGGCACTTATTTTTTCATCATAATTTCTTTATGTTCGGAATGTTCTTTTTTCAGGTGCGATTACTTGTGTATGTCCTTGTATCACTTTCGGACAAATAACCGAGATCATCAACCGGGGATCCAAATGTTAATTCTCGTTCCGAAAATAATACATATTTTGAAATAATTTATCTTTTAATTAGTTTTCTGTTTTTGTGGCAGCTTGTGTTTCAAGGGGGGTGTTGTTTGGGATGCTGGCGATGGTGGGGTGTGCATGTTTCTATTCATGTTTCTATCGGTCAAAGCTAAGGGGACAATACGATTTGCCGGAGGAACCTTGTACCGACTGCTTGGTTCACTCCTGCTGTGCCTCTTGTGCTCTCTGCCAAGAGTATCGAGAGCTCAAGAACCGTGGCTTTGACATGGGCATTGGTATGCATCTTTTCTAACTTTTTTCTTTTAATTTCGTATTAGCGTTTTAGTTATTAAATTTAAAATATATATATAAAATAATTATTAAATTTGTCTAAATGTTATAAAATTTTCATCTAACATTTGATCAATATAAAGTTTAACCTATGAATTAGATAAATAACTTCATCACAAAAATAACTAGTTAAGTGAGAAAATGAGATTGGACTATAATCTATCTACTATTATATATGCATGAAACACTTAGGGAAAACATGATATGAATTATTTTGGCTTAAATAAGTACTGATACATGTAATATATATATTACATCATTTTTATAGGATAAACTATATCATTGAATTTAGGCGGTGTATTGTATAGTCCATTGAATTTTTAATTTTTCTAATTATAACACTAGACTTTAGTTTTGGTTTCAATTACACCACTGAGAGGTTAAACTCCAAACGACGTGATGACATGGACAAAAAATCCATTCATGTCATTATGTTTTAAAAGTCCAATAATATATTTGAAGCTTAAACTAAAATTCAGTGTTATAATTGAAGCAATTGAAAGTTCAGTGTTATAATTGAAGCAATTGAAAATTCAATGATAAAAATAATATGCAGCCTGAAGTTAAGTGGTATATGGTGTAGTTTACCCTCTTTATATTGGGTTGCATTACTAATTTTGACCAACTCTAATTTAATCTTTTTGAAAAAAATAATAATAGTTGTGTAATTTGAATCTTATCTATTTAGATTTGTCTCCACGTCAAATATGAAGTACAAAATTACCCATGTTGAGATTTTCTAAAGAAATCTTTGCTAAATTAAATATAAAAAAAACAAAGGGTCACTTTCGTACATTGACTGCATATATAGGAGCCCCCAAGTTTTGATCCAATAGCATTTTTGGTCCCTAGTAGTTTAAATCCAATTCAAATTTTCAGATTTAAATAATAGATTTCTGAATATTTGAAGTTAGACAATTTGATTTCTCCCATATTTGATCCTAGTTCCGTCTCTATAAATATAATTGTATTTGGTTGTTGGAAATGTTATATAATGAAGGTTGGGAAGCCAACATGGACAGACAAAAGAGAGGAGTTACAATGGCTCCAATTGTGGTTCCTGGGATGGCAAGATAACCCCATGATTGCTGTTGCCTCTTGTATGATGCCATTCTCTTGTTGATTGCTGCATATGTGTATATGTTTTGTGTATGGTATTAGTGGGTGCTTGAATGTTGTCTACAATGATATTTGCAATAATCCTTTTGGAAATAATCTAAGGGGAAAAAGATGATCATTACTTGAATCGATATCGAATAGTTTTAAGTTCAATTTCGATAAAATCATATTGTATTTGAACCGTTTTGGTATATTCGATGTATATTAGTGCATATAGATTATGTACCGAAAAGAAAATCAAAAAGGGAAGGAAACAACCTTTCTCTCTAGTTCGTGCCATTGCTCACATCTGCATGAATCTAATTTGGACAGTTGACTTCGTTCGAATTCGTCGAGAGATAAACTTTGCGAATGATTCTCCGGCCAAGCTCCCAACTGACTCTAATGACCTGATACAAATCGTCACTGGTGTCCCTCCAACTATTGATGCTACCCTAACTAGAAATATATTGGGTCCTCCTTTCTTAAGGAACCTTACAAACATGATGTAAAAGCTTAGTCATCCTTCTACTAAAAACAAGGGAAAGATTTTTTTTTTTTGAGTTTTTAGGTTTACGAAGATTGAGAATTTCATTTGTAAATCTCAATGGGGAAACACTAGGGGTACCGTGAGAAGCAATATACTTGAAAAACATGACAATCAAATGGTAAAATAGAGACGTCCAGTGTTGGACTAAAATCCATAGTTGTGGGTATACATGTATAAAATACAATGTTATTATAAAGTATGACACGTGACCAATTATGTTATATGTGTCATAAGCATTAAAGTGTCATGGAATTAAGTGTAGATACCATAAGTTGTATTTATAATTTGATGAGAGACATGATTATAAATACTTAAAAGATTGGCTTACTATTCATTTTATAAAAAGAGGTAGCGGTCTCAAGAAATAGGTCAACTTATATTACTCTTATCTCTATCAAAGACTTTTTACGTCAAAAGAAAATCTATCTTCTTTGAAGATCACAACCAAAGAAATATTCAGTATTTTATTCTTGACGATATGACATGATAGATCTTAGGTTTTGACTTTATATTTATTATAATTTAATTCTAACACGGAGAAGGTATAGAATTTGTTTTTGCCTCTTCAATTGATTGATATTTGATTATCTTGTTGATCTACCTTTACTTTGGATCATATAAATGATTCTCTCACATCGATATATGCTCAAAATCATCATAAGTATGTTACCCTTAAATTAAGATAAAATTAATTATTAGTTTATTATCATGTTCTTTTACTATAGTAATATTGATAATATTTACCTTTTATCATCGACCATAGAATTTATATATTAACAGTGAATATACACATAGTGAATAATTGAGTGTATAGACTAAATTTTTAAAAAGTAACTAACTCGAATAGAACTGACTATAAACTAATCGAGTCTTAACTTTATTGATATAGTAATAACTTAGAGAACATGAAAATCAAATATATTTAAATATATGATTTACTTCAATTAGTGTTATCCCTCAGTTTTTTTTAGTATAATAACTTTATATTTTTTAAATTTAAACATTAGTCAAATAATATTTCAAAAAAGAGAACATTAGCCAAATAAAATTTTTATCTTTCTTAATTTTTAAATTTAATTAAATATTAGTAAATTTAATTACATATTAGCCGAAGTTAGAGGCCGACTTGAACCCAATAAAAAGCCATGGATTAAAGCCAAAGTCAGGGTTAAATTGCACCCAAAGACTTTCAGGAGCTGAATTGTAAATCAAAGACAAAGTTAGGGGTCAAATGGTAGATTAACCCGATAAAATATAAAATAAAAAAGAATCATAGGATTTTCATCTCCTTGGATTAAGAAATTCCACGTGTTCTCATAAAACCAAAATCTAGCCGTCCATAAAACAAGACAAAGCAACACTCGACGCGTTATTCATATGATCTTATTATTATTTCGGATAAAATACATTTTAGATTATTAAACTATATTATTGTTTTAGTTATTAAATTTTTAAAAATAAAAATGATATTAAATTTATTAAAATATTGTAAAAATTTAATAATTATTTTAAATGATAATTTGATAAAATTTAGTAATTATTTCATAATAATTTAATAGATTTTATAATAATTTTATAATATTTAAAAATATAATAATTAAAATAATTTTTTAAGTATAATTTACTGACTATTTACTTTCCTCTCGGAATTGTTTGGTAAATGCATTTCCACTTCCAGAAACAAAGAGAAAGTAAAGCAAACCCACTTGTGAACAAAACCCAGACATCTAATATTAATGCAGAAAATATTAGCTTTGTTTAAAGAAAACCAAACCATTTCCTTCAAACCCATCAAGGAAAATACCTTCTTTTTCCCACAGGTTTCCTTCCTTCTTCTCAACCTATTTTGTTATTCAATCTCTTCTGGGTTTGAAACAAAGATCCCTTCTTTTCAGTAAAAATTGATTTTTTTTCCTTTTGTTTTGGGGTCACACTCTTAGGATCTGAGATTGTTGGTCCTCACCTAAGGTACCCTTTTCTTCTTCTTCTCTATATTTGGTGTTAATTTCTTGTTTTTTTTTCTATTTCTTTTGATTGAATGATCATTGGGTATTTTCTATGTTGTATGTTCGTTGCTTTGTTTCATGGGGAAATGGGATTGAAGTAGATATTGAAGGGTTTTTTTAATTAGTCATTGTTTTAGCTCATTCTAGCTATGAACTTTACTGATTTGGTGATTGAATTTATGAACTTCTGTTTTGGTTTACCCTTTTATTCATAGTTTTGCATATATTTTGCAATTCCATTGTTGGGTGCTTGATGCTTTGTCGATATTCAATCGTGTCGATACTTGTTGCAATTCGTGTTCTTATACTGTTAAATGCTTAATCTTGGATAGTACATCTTGTGCAATTAACTTATCGAGAATAATTCTAGCACTTCACTAGTTTGTTAACGTTTCTTGTTCAGATATTGGATTGGACTGAGTCGTACTGACGATTTCCTTTTCTCTGCCTCGAGGATTGCTTTCCGTTGACATCGTTGTACACCATGGCCAATCTAAATGCTTCGGAATCCTTGGAACAAAAAGGAACTCTTATGGTGGATTCAAATGTGAATGTGCTTCAACCTTCTATGATCCAGCCAAAGCGAACCTCATCGGACGGTCCCGTGGCTATCCTTTGGGATATAGAGAATTGCCCTGTCCCGAGTGATGTCCGCCCTGAAGATGTAGCCGGGAATATAAGAATGGCTTTGCGAGTGCATCCTGTAATTACGGGAGCTGTTATGATGTTTTCTGCATATGGGGATTTTAATGCCTTCCCCAGGAGACTCAGGGAGGGCTGTCAGAGAACTGGTGTCAAACTCATAGATGTACCGAATGGAAGGAAGGACGCTGCTGACAAGGCTATCTTGGTTGACATGTTTTTATTTGCCCTTGATAACCCTCCGCCTTCATCAATCATGCTGATTTCGGGAGATGTTGATTTTGCTCCGGCCCTTCACATACTTGGTCAACGTGGCTATATAGTCATTCTCGTTATTCCTGCCAGGAGCGTTTCGTCTGCACTGTGCAGTGCTGGTAAGTTTGTTTGGGATTGGCCTAGCGTTGCTTGTGGGGAAGGCTTTGTGCCTCCTTCGAAGGCCTTAATGCCTCCTCGAGGAGGGCCGGCTGATATTTCTGGGTGTTTCATGGGGTGCCATATTGGTGACAATCCAGATGGCCAAAATGAGGAAGAGGCGATAATTTATAAGGGTTTTTCACAAAGCTGTTACAACTCGAGAGATTTCACAATAGTATCGCAGTCTTTGTCTGAATATACAAGTAATCCTTCAGTTGCCATACCTTCTTTCCCTGCAACTTCAAGATCGCAAAGTCTCCCATCTGGTTTGAGTGAAGTACCGGGGTGTCCCAGCGTTTATGATCAGAATGATGTCATGTGGGTTCAGCCCGGAGACATAAATGGTTTGAAGGGACAACTGGTGAAATTGCTTGAACTTTCAGGAGGATGCATGCCTTATCCGCGTTCCTGCCGAGTATAATAAGTTTTTCGGGAGGCCTCTTTATGTGGCAGAGTATGGGGCATGCAAACTCGTTAATCTTTTCAAAAAGATGGGGGACACTCTAGCAATTGAAGGAAAAGGTCATAAGAGATTTGTCTACCTTAGAAACTGGAAATCGAGCCCAAGTGCACCACCTTTGGCTCTGGGGGCTGGCTCTTCTGACAAGTTTTCCGATGAGGAAAGAGTGGTAGTTGAAGAATGTGACGAGAGGAGGAATAATGGAGCCGCAAGTTATGATGTTGATGACCGTAATCTCGAGCAATTTAAATACGAGTTGCAGGAAATTCTTGTGAGTTATTCCTGCCGAATATTCTTGGGTTGCTTTGATGAAGTATACCATCAACGCTATAAGAAGATGCTAGACTATCGGAAGCTCGGTGTGGAGAAGCTAGAAGAGTTGTTTGACAAGGTGAGGGATGTTGTGGTCTTGCACGAAGAACCAGTAAGCAAGAGGAAGTTTCTTTGTGCAGTAGGTAGTTAGAAAAAATCCGACAGACTCGTACTTGTAAACTCGAATAAGATCAGACAATCGAGGTATGTTGATCAATGCTTCGTCTCTTTGATCCGTCTCTGGTTTTCTCTCTTTTTTTCTGTGCCAGGGTTTCATAAGTGGCAGATAGAATATAGGAGATGCAATTCATGCATGGATTTGGGAAGCTCATGGCTTGTCAACCACTACTGTGCAAGCTCTGTTGTAAATTAAAATCCCAGCAATAAGAACTATTTACATTCTTAAAGCTTATTAACAATGTCACAAATATTATTTCAAATTTGTATGTCATTGTTATCATGCTTTATGCAAGTGATTCCACAAACTCATTCTGCAATTCATCACTAATGGCGGCTGCTCCGTCTCGAAAAGTTTACGGTTTTTGATCAAGAACATCCGGCTTAAATTGGATATAGTCCACTCTATTACTAGATTTTATGATCTATGAGAAGAAAATTGAAGTTCTATCTTCACTTGAGCAAGCCTGTTGTCTTGCAAACAGGACATAGGTTTTTCAGCATTAACCACTGTCTGATGCAGTTAGTGTGAAAGTCGTGTCCACAATCGAGTGTTCCAGAATCGTCCCC